CCCTGGGACTCTGCCGCCGGCCGGCCCGCGCGCGCGCGCCGGGCTTGCTGCGCCCAGTCCTCCCATGGCGCGTGCAAGCGCTTCTCGTTACGGGGCTGCAAACCCCGGCGCGGCCCGATCCTGATTTTGGCGTCAGTCTCTAGACCCTGATACCTGGTGCAACAACCCTCAGGGGGTTCATGTCCGCGAAAGCTGCCAATCCTGGGTCTGCCGCAGCAGAGGCACGAATAACAGTTACCGGGCCAGCGGCGCGGCTGTCCCCTTCCTGATCTTTCAGCGCACCCAGCTGTCTGGGCTTGTGCGCGCTCATCTTTTCTGGGGTGATTTTGGCGTCAGTCTCTAGACCCTGATACCTGGTGCAACAACCCTCAGGGGGTTCATGTCCGCGAAAGCTGCCAATCCTGGGTCTGCCGCAGCAGAGGCACGAATAACAGTTACCGGGCCAGCGGCGCGGCTGTCCCCTTCCTGATCTTTCAGCGCACCCAGCTGTCTGGGCTTGTGCGCGCTCATCTTTTCTGGGGTGGAATTGTGCAGATCTCCCGCTCCTAGATCAGGCCCAGGACTCCGGCACCCTATCAACCACGCTGACACAGCATGTCCCATGTTCTTCCTTTTAGGTGTCTTATGGCCAGTAGCATGCAGCGATCAGGCAACCTTTTTAAACAAAAATGTTCTGTTCGTTTTAACAGGGAAAATATGTAACATTACTGTAGCACGTAGCAGGCCTCGTCATTGACTAGGACCTGGTGACTAGCAATACACAAAACAACAGCAAGAATATTTCTGCAGCTAAGAGGTTATGAATGAAATATAACAGAAGAGACATCCGAAAGTGACAAATTGATGAGGGAGTACAAGAAGTCAGCATGATAGAAAATGGTCGCAGAGCAGCAGCAGCAGCAGTCGGACTTAAGTTTCTTGTAGGCATCACAGAAGAGAGTTTTGAGAAGGGGATTCAAAAAATGATAATTAGGCAGCTTTGAAAGTGATTATGAGGAACATATCCCAAGAATGAGGAGCAGCATGCATAGAGGTAAAGCACATAGCTAAGTTCTCTTGAATTAAGAGTCTCCTGGCTACGTCTACACTGGCTGCGAGTTCTTGCGCAAGAACACTGAGGCTCCCGCTCAGGAATAAGCCCTCTTGCGCAAGTGTTCTTGCACAAGAGGCCAGTGTAGACAGGCAACACGAATTTCTTGCGCAAGAAAGCCCGATGGCTAAAATGGCCATCGGAGCTTTCTTGCGCAAGAGAGCGTCTACACTGGCACAAATGCTTTTGCGCAAAAGCACATCTCTTGTCCATTGTAGACGCTCTCTTGTGCAAATACTTTAACGCAAAAACTGTTGCGTTAAAAGTATTTGCGCAAAATCTCCCAATGTAGACGTAGCCTCCACGTATCATGATGGGAGCTACATACAGATAATCAGAAATCTAGCAAAACATCTTCAGCTCCAAACTGATACCTTTCCTATTGCAGCTAATAGAGAATTTCTTTAGCTGCAAGCAGTGATGCAAGTAGAATTTAATTCTTACTGGTATGAGCGACTCATGGGAGAGACACAAGCAGGGAGCACATTACCTCCCCCATGTAACTCCCCACCAATGTTCCCTTTAATCTTTTCCAGCCATGTGCAGAATACATGTTTATGTGCTGTGTGTGCTTTGCTAATAAGCTGTGCAACATTTTGATTTCTCCTGAGCAGTCGCACAAGTGCAAAGCTACAGGGAACACTGATCCTCACCCACAGCCTGAGGACCTGTGCTCTTCTCATCCCTTCTCCATCCTACATAACCTGGCAGGGAACTGTCCTCTGTTCTCCTGCTGCACCAGATATGATTTCTGAACCCCAGAGCTCTCCAGAACCAAAGTGGCAAAATGTGGGGCCACTTTCTGCTAGCTTCTTTAGCGAGGCTGTACCATTCCTACTAGGGATGTGAAAGTGTAATACACGGTTAACAATGAGCCTGAGCCCATCGGTTAACCTTCATGGTTACATGCAGGCTCCTGGTACACACAGAAAGCTTCTTGTCCCTGTCCCCCACTCTACTCTGCTGCCTCTGTGTCAGGGCAGTGCCAGGGGGAAGGGTGGATGAAGGGGAAAGGCAGGTGGGAGCTGGTATGCCCAAGGAGCTGGTGCACATGGGGAGCTGGCTTAGGCTGGCTCCCCACTCATACGAGCTCCTTCCTGTCCTTCACCTCTCCTCCCAGAGTGTAACCACTGAAAGATGTCAGCAGTTAGGCTGTTACTTAAGGCATTTTAACATCCCTAATTCCCACCCCCAGCTTTCCATACTGCTGTGTCTCCTGTCTGGGGTCTATACAGCCCTGCCAGAGGACACAGGATCGGGTGTGGTGCAGATGTGCTGGAGGGGCTGATATTCTGTTCCTGTGTCTTTCCAGCACAGCAATAAATATTCTTATGGTTCAGCCTACCAGCAGTAAATATTCTAATAGTTCAGCCTACCATACTGTTCAACCCTGCTTCACCACTGGCTGTAAATAGCAAGCTGTTATAGTTGCTAGTATCATGCACTAGAGCAGGGATTGACAATCTTTCAGAAGTGGCGTGCTGAGATTTAACTTACTTATATTTATGTATCTGCATGCCATTGATACTTTTAAAGTCAATAATACTTACATTGGGTAGGATGTGTGTACGACTCAGGCTCTGTAACTCTGTATTAGTCAACTGCTTCTGTCTGTCGATGGGGCACTCAGAAGAAAGAAGCTCACTGCACTTTGTCAAGGCTGGTGCAGCGGCTGGTCTGGCAAGTAGCAGCCGAGGAGCAAGTTATTAAGGGGTGGGGGCCATGGGAAGATGCGGGCTTCCCCATCCTCCCAACTGAGGAGAGCTTTTACTCCTTCCTGCCAGAGACCCAGGGGCCAATGCGACTTTGGGGCAGAGGGACCCCCTACGTATTTTCCTCTCCCCTCAGCCGCCTCTGTCCCCGGCCAGCCCCAGAGCCACAGCCTGGGTAACAGTCACCCTCTAGCGGGGCCCCGTAGATGGCGATGCTGGCAGCTGGGCGAGACTTCAACACCATCTTCAGCCCACCTGCCAGGGACACAGAGGCAGAAAGGGAGGTGAGTGGAGTGAAGAACGCTGAGGCTGTAGAGCTGGGGCTGCACAACCAGGGGAAAGCAGCAGACTGGAAGAGGTGGGGATGGGATTGCCAGGCAAAGGTGGTGCAGGAGCTAGAAGTCGGTACCGCACCCCCATCACATTATTGAATTTTAAAAGTGAGCAGACAGATCATTGTCGTACCCACTTGTGGCATTTGTCCCAAATTCTGTACAAAGTGGGCCATGTGATGTGTCAAACAAAAGCTTATGCTCTACTGATTCTATGTATGATACTCATGTACTTGTATCGTTTTTGTATTTGAAATTATGAATATGGTCTCTGGTCTTGTATTGTAAATGGTCTGTCTGTGAGAGAGCAATGGGCTGGACTGTATTGTGAGGAAGGATTGTTCAGTAAATGGCTATGCTAACTAGCCCTGCTTCATGGACAATGGCTCTCGGAGTGGCCAATACACACCTGAGGGATGTGTCTGGAAACCTGCAGACTGGCCAGTGCATAATGGCTACTTGCAAGTGAAACTGATATAGGTCACTTGATCATGTGACC